ATCAATCAAGGACTCATGAACAGTTTCTTTCAGCAAAGAAATAGAAGACAATAGATCAACTGTTAACTATCCTGTATATACATACATACAAAATTTCTCCTTCTTTCCCTTCTCTTTTCTCACATCCCAGTTGCCCTTTACTCTTGAGCGTTTTCCTATCATTTCACAATGTCTATCATATCTCCGAGTTTAAATTAACTCTTTCATCAGATTATATTTCTCGAAGAGAATTTAAAGTAACACTGAAATTTTTTTCAAGAGTTGGAGAAATAGCCAAGCTTGGTGGTGCATTCCTGTAACCCCAGTAGTTGGGAGGCTGAAGCAGGAGGATTGCTGCAATTTTGAGCTCAGCCTGGGTTACTTAGTGAGATCAAGGCCGGCCTGAACTGCATAGAGAAAGCCTGCCTCAAAAAGACCCAAAGAAAAAAAGAGCTGGAGAAATACTGATGGACAAAATACTCAAAAAAAACCCCAAGCAAACAAAAAATGAAGTCCAGAGCTTTCTTTGCATAGTTGGCTTTTGAAGCCCTGGAGAAATCAATTTATGGAGGGTTAGTTTATGTGTAATAATCTAAGTTAAGAATTTTGGTATTCAGAAAGTCATATTTTATTATTTGGAGCAAGAGATACTCCACCCTGCAGTATCTGGGCCACTGGGTGGGAAACCTGTATATATCTTATTGCCATGCAGAATAAATAATCCAGTATGGAGGGGATTCCCATTACCCACAAATCAGGAGCGATATGATTATTTTTGTCATGCTGGCATCTTCACGTTGCCAGCTGAAACTGCTATCCCTCCAGAACTCATGAGCTTACAGGTGAGGCTTTTGGAAGGTGATGAGATTACGGGGGCTTATAGTTGACTTGCTATTAGGAGAGGGGTCTGGTCAGAAAAGGTGGATCATTGTGGGTGTGACCTGGAAGGGTACATCTCCCTTCCTGGCTCTTCCCTTGATCTCTCTGCTTTCCCCTGCCGTACCTCTGTGCCATGCCATCCTGCCTTGCAGCCAGCCAGCTGTGGACTGAACCTCTACAAACAGTGAGCCAAAATAAACCTCTCCTCCTTTAGGTTGTGAGTATTGGGTATTGTGTCCCAGCAAGGAGAAAGTGACTAAGACAAATGTTCACAGAGGTAATATTGAATGAAGGCCATCTGCAAGTGTCTGAATGGTCCTGATGGTGGGGGAAGGTGTTCTGGGGCCACTTTAATGATCCTACAAGAGCTATGGATTTGATGAGTCAAGCATTATTTATAGACATGTTTGGCTGTTTTTGCAGTTTCTTCACAAGTATTTTGCCAAGGTATGAATCATTTTATCAATGCTGAGTGAGAGAGTGGAATGCTTGGGAGAGTACCTTTTTTCTTTACCCTTCTTTCCTTCCTTCCTCCTTCTTTTTTTTTTTTTTTTTGAGATAGGACCTTATTATGTAGTTCAGGCAGGACTTGAACTCACTATGCAGCCCAGGCTGGCCTCAAACTCATGGCAGTCTTCCTGCCTCAGCCTCCCGAACGCTGGGATTACAGGTGTGCACCACCATGCCTGGCTACTCATTTTCTTTCTTTCTCTTTCTTTCATTTCTTTCTTTTGTTTTCTTTCTTCTTTCTTTCTTTCTTTCTTTCTTTCTTTCTTTCTTTCTTTTTCAATTTTGTTATAAGTGTTGAATTTCTCTTACATCTTTTGGATTGACTTCAAGCAAGGTACATAGTTTATTAGTTAGGCCAATTTTCTGGGTGACAGCATTCACACAGAAATCAGCCATGATATTTCCTTGATATTTCTGGTCTATTCTGTGAATAAGAGCATCACTTCTTTTATTAAAGAGTGTCAATTTTTATGACAGCTTCTTGTGAGGGTAACAATAGTGTGGAGAAGTCATCAGCAACTTGAGGTACATTTTTATGGGCCTGCAATAATGTTGAGAATCCCCTCTTTTTCCATAGCATACCAACATCATTGACTACTCCAAAAAACATAACTGCTACCCGTATAGTAGAGTTAGGGCAAATAATTCTGCATGTTGTATCAAATTATATATTGAGGAAGAACTCTTTCTTATAATTCACATTGGGTTGTAACAGCATACCCAATTTGATATTTTCCATTAGAATTTTCGGTATAAGAGCCATCAACATGGAGTAGTGGCCAGAAATATAGCTCAGCGGTGCAGTGCCTCTCTGGTAAGCTCTAGGTCCTGAGTTCGATTCCTGGTACCAAAACAAATAAACAACATGGAGTAGTAATTTGGGATTGGCCAGTGGAGCTTCCTATAAACTTAATGCTGGGGTCAAATTTTGAGAAGCCAATTTGACAGTTACAATTATCTCCTTTGTTGAGTAAAGATAGGAGGGTAGCCGAGTTTGAAGAATTATAGCGAAGAATGTGAAGGCTTGAAGGAGGCAGGCTCAGAATCTCACACGATTAGTTTGCAGGCTGAGAAATGCTGTGTGTGCTTGGTATTTAGTATTTTCACGGCGTTAGAAATCTGTATATGTAAATCATTTCCCTAAACACGTTCTGAAGATGATTTAATGACTTTGGTAGCTGTAGCTACTGCCTTTACACAATTTGGATAGGCTCTGGCCTGGGAGCTTGCAGGGGCTTTAAATCCTGTTGTAAAACTTGTGAAGTATGAAGGAGTCTCAGTAATACTATCCATGTATACTTTTGACTTTTTCAAGTCAAAGCAAATAAGCATTACCTTTCTCTGTCCACTAGGATGCTCAGAAGAGTATAGCAAAAGTCCCTAACCATGAATCATTTGGATTCTATTGGTATGTTTCCTGACATTGACTCTTAGATCTTGTACAAAGCACCATTCTCATCTGTGCAGTTTCTTTATAGGTGAGGTAGGAATGTTTCTTTCTTTCTTTTTTTTTTTTGGTACCAGAAATCAAACTCAGGACCTTGCACTTGCAAAGCAAAGCGTGTGCCACTGAGCTATATCCCCAGCCCCTGAGGTAGGAATGTTTCAAGGACTGTTATAGGGGACAATGAGCCTCTGTTTCACTAAGTTTTCTATTAAAAGGGCAAGTCCTCATATGGCTTTAGCTTTTTTTTTTTTGTTTGTTTGTTTTTTTGTTTTTGTTTTTCTCCGGTACCGGGAACCGAACTCACAACCTTGCACTTGCCATGGCTTTAGCTTTTTAAAATATACTGAGGGAATAGGAAGCAGTTCAGAAGATGAATGTGATTTTTTTTTGTGGCACTGGGGATCAAACCCAGGGCCTGGTGCATACTAATCAAATTCTGCACCACTTGAAATACTCATATATTCCCTAACCTAATCAACATGAAGTTTAATGAATTTGGTACTTTTAATTTTCTACATCTGTAGAAGGCCCATAGAGTGTCAGGCAGGGATGCCAGAGAGATCTATAATATCTATACTATTAACGAACTTAATAATCTCCACAAGACCATAAATTTAGCTCATCTTAGGGCCAGGGATATAGCTCAGTGGTACAAGCGCCTGCCTGGCAAGCTCCCTTTTTTCGTGTATTGTCTGTTAACAAAATGGGCTGATGAGCCCCTTCATCTTCCTAGCCCTTGAAGTGAGACTATTGTTTGAAAATTTCTTCTAGGCAGATTCAGAAATCCCAAGTGGATTTATCCTCTTTCTGTTTACAGCACTGGATAATGGCTTGGTCTAGTCTCACGAGAAATACTTTGAGAATAACTTCTGGTAACTCGTCTCATTCTTCTGGCTCTTTCTATTCCTTATTTGGAGGCATATGTGATAGGAACTCCAAAGTCTCTAGTTAGATCATTGCAATTACTGTTTTTAAGCATCCCCTGTGCCTAGGTCATAGGTTTCAAGACAAAATTTTAATTTGAGAGAGATGGGGAAAGAGATTAGACCAGATAGAACTCATCTTTGCCTTTAGATTCCTTATCATATCTGTAGCAAGACCAGTGACCCTGCCAACGGTCTTTTTGAGGTAGGGTTTCTCTATGCAGTTCAGGCCAGCCTTGATTTCACTATGTAACCCAGGCTGAGCTCAAAACCACAGCAATCCTCCTGCCTCAGCCTCCCAAGTACTGGGATTACAGGCATACACCACCAAGCCCGGGTATTTCTCCAACTCTTGAAAAAAGTGTCAGTGATGCTTCAAATTCTCTTCAACAAATATAATCTGAAACTGGGTGCAGTGTAAGCCCAGCACTCTGGGAAATCAAGACAGAAGAATCACAAATTGAGAAACACAGAGAATCATGGGTTTTCCCCATACTGTCTAAAAGGTGACCTACCAGGAAGCTTCAGCAAAACATAGGTATGCACAACAAATTTGGAGAGCTTAAGATGCAAAAGGAGTGGAACGTGGATTTAGGAGAGATTTACCCTGGAACTCTGGGGTCAGTACGAAATCGGTGAGTGCAGTGGGCCCGGTGGGGGTGGCATCTGGGTACTCGCTGAGCTCTGGCCTCAGCAGAAGGCTACATTCAGATCCCATTTCTGACACCAGAAACTGTCAAAAAGTGAAATCATATCAAGCTAGGGAAATTTAAAAGGATTGTTGCACATGGAAAAGAAGAGTTGGCAAACTGGGGGGCTTTGAAGATGGCAGGAAACTTGCTCATAGAAGTTATAGTTCAGTTTCTAAAGCACAAATGAAGAAGCACCCTGTTCCCACTGCGGCTGGCAGCTAGAGGCTTCCATTCCTCAAGGTGGGAGCACTGCATGAGCTACCGGTTTGTAGCTGATTGGTTAGGATGCTGTAAGGTCATTTTGAAGTGAAAAGAGTTTAAATTTTGTCGGTGGTTACAGCTAGCATTTTGGAGAAACTGAGACAGGTGTGTGTGTGTGTGTGTGCGCGTGTGAGTGTGTGTGTGCGTGTGTTACTGGGAGTTGAGCGCAGGGAGTTCTGAGCTAGACCCCAGGCATTTTTATTTTTAAAAATTTGACACAGGACCTCACTAAGATATTCAGGCTACCCCAAATATGTGATCCTCCTGTTTGAGCCTCCTGAATAGCTGTAATTACAGAAGGCCCCGTGGAGACAGTTTTGTTTTGATTTTGTGGTTGTGGCTGTTTGGTCTAGGAGTAAATACACACATAGCATACACATACACATACATACATAATATAATATACATAAACACACATAGCATACACATACACATACATAATATACATACACACATAGCATACACATACACATACATACATAATATACATAAACACACACTAAAATTTGCACATATATACATATACACATCTAATTTTAATTTTGAAAATTAAACAGGGATAATTTACAAATAGTAAAATTGACCTATTTTAGTTTCTATTTCTATAAGTTTTGACAAATGCATTAAACGTCACTACAATACAGAAGTAGTGTTCTGTCCAGCTGAACCCATAGCTGGAGTTGCTCCCAGAGAGGCGGTAGGGGAGTCTCTTCAGGGGACTTCTTCAAATTGTCCACACGTGGGGCTAATTGGGATTCCAAACAGCAAAGCACCTAATGCAGACTAGTTAGTCCAAAGTATTTATGAAGGTAATTTACGGGGGGCTGGAATGTACTTTTCTTGGACGGCAGGGCAGAGGACCCTTTCCCCGGGGATGCCTGTAGTGCCGTCTAAGGAGTTTATGTAAGGTTTAAGGCACAGGCACTTTGTGGGCATCTCTGGAGTTGTCCATAGCGACCAGATGTCCTCAGCCTGTGTTCCCTTCTTCTGGAAATAGACCATTACCACTCCCCAGCTGTCTGAAAATCAAGGCTGATGGCCATGTGTTTGCAACTTCCGTTAGCTGGCTCCTTCTTAGACACCATTACTTGGCCATGTCTGTCACTCCAAAAAGGTAGGGTCCACTTTACAGGCAATTCTGACAACTAGAGTTGGAAGATTTGGCTGTCATCCAGCCCAGTTTCTTTAATTTGTAAATGATAAGAACAAGGCCCCAGGAGAAGGCACTCGCAGAAGCCATATTGTGAACGAATCAGGGCTAGGACCCAGGGTCCTAGATTCCTATGTTAGGCCTCTATCTTGATTAGCTGGTTCCTTTCTTATGATTTCAAAGTGCCACCCTAGTCTGCTGGGGCCCCTTACTGCTGGCCAGGGAGGTTGAGGGACTTTTTTATGGGCCTGAGCTAGAAGGGGACCCGAGACTAGGACTCAACTGTCTCCTGCTTCCTCTTTGCCCTGAACAATTCTGTCACAACTGCTGACTTCTTCAGGGAAGGAACTCATGAACTCATGTGGTTCTTCAGGAGTCACATCCCTCATGTTAGATATGTGGAAAGCAGAGCCTAGGGGCCCCAGGCAACCTTTCCAAAGTCCTCCGGGCTTGAGTTGCACCAGGCAGGATGGGCAGTTTCATCCTTATTGATGGGTCCAAGGGCAACGAGGCTGCCTGGGTCAGGGCCAGCTCTGAACTCACTGTTTCCACAGGTGAATTTGCGGGGGCTGGTTCTTCCAGCATCATGTCTGTTCTGACTGACAGAGCCATAGTGAAGAAGGAGCTGCTGTCCCAAGTGGCCAAGAACAATGCCTACCGAGTCAATAACAAATACGACAAGAAGTATACACCACTGCCTATCAACAAAGTCGTCAAGTCGGCTCTGGAGCTGGTAGGGAAGGAGCTACCGTATTCAGTGACCCACATGAACTGTGAGCACTTCGTGACTAAGCTGCGCTATGGAGTTCCGCTCTCTGAACAGGTGCGTGCTCAGCCTGAGTCCCCTTCCCGAGAACCAGGCCATCTCCTTAGCTGTCGGTGGCTCGGCACCTGCTGCGGTTGGACCAGAATGGTGATAGGGACACAGACAAGACAAAATAGCAGAGACAGAATCCCTGCCCCTGAAGATGTCACATTTGAAGAGGGCACAAGGGTGGAGAGACACCCAGGTAAGATGGCAATGCAGATGAGAGCTGTTAGGAAGTGATGGCTAGGGAAGCGTGACCTAGACGTGACAGTCACTCCTGTTGCTGAGCCCTGCCTGCTCTCTGTCCCTGAGGTGACTTTCCACAGCCTTAGAAACAGGTTTTATTATCTCCATGTTATAGATGGAGAACCAAGGCTTGGAGTATTAGGGTCAGCTCTCCCAACTCATTCCATCAGGTATGGAGCCTCTAGTCCAGTAATGGCAAACCTTTTGGAGGCTGAGAGCCAAACTGCACCCTCAGACCCACTTATTTAACCTGAGCTGTGTCTGATTAAACTCTTCTGACTAATCTGGAAGTGGAAACCCGGTGAATGGACTGCGAGGGGCCCGGTGTGAACCTGGAGATGGGAAACTCTGGTCATGTTGGGCCAAATTTTTTTCTGCAAAGGATCAGATAGTGAACATCTCAAATTTTCTGAGCCATGTGGTTTCTCTCACTACCTGGACACAGATGGAATGTAAACGAATGGGCAAGGCTGTGTCCCAGTAAAATTGTATTTCTTTTTGCAAAAGTAGGTGGCAGGCTAGACTTGACTGAGGGGACAGAGTTTGCCAAATCCTGTCCTAAGAAAACTTGAAAATACAGTGTCATCCCTTTCCAGGAGACATCAAACTTTTAAAAAATCATAAATGTAAAAATGTTGCAAAGGATGGAATTTTTGGCATTTTGCATTCATGTTTTCTGTACATATTTTCTTAACCTTGGAGGTGCACATGTAGCTCATTCAGAGAGTGAAAAATGTCTTCCCGGTAATGTACATAGCCAAGCCACATAATATTGTAAACATAGTCAGCCATACTAGACAATTTCTTCTAGACAAAAATTAACAATTTTTGCCGGGTGTGGTGGCACACGCCTGTAATCCCAGCACTTGGGAGGCTTGAGGCAGGAGGATCGTTGTGAGTTCAAGGCCAGAATTGTAACCAGGGCTAGAAAGTGAGCTCAAAGTCAGCCTGAACTGCATAGCGAGACTCTGTCTCAAAAAGACAAAAAAAAAATTTTTAACAATTTTTTTCAGTTCAAATAAATGTGTTCCTGCTCATTTTATGACTGCCATCTCAATTTAGCATTCTGATTCTCAAGTTATAGCTAGATTAGGCAGACAGCCTCCCTCAGGAAACAGACCATCACCATCCTCCAGCTGTCTGGAGATCGAGGCTGATGGCCGTGACCATTTGTTTTGGGAGCCCTCTGACTGGGATCGATACATTCTTGAATCCTCCCATTTCCATCCAGGAATGTTTACCCCTTAGCCTGTGAGGCATAGATTCAGGTGGGGAAGGATGTGGCTCTTTTTTTTGTAAGGTAGGAGAAGGGCTATGAAGGAAAGGGGAGGTAAGTGGGGAGAATCCATACCTTTTGGTAGATAGAGCCCATATTATTAATTGAGAATTTGCCAGGCTTTCTGGGTCCTGGGGTCCTACAACAACTGCTCTCTTGTGCCCAGCAGCAGTGACTCTGTGGATGGGATTTGAGCTGTGGAAGACAGACCCGTTTCTAGACTGAGAGGTGGCATGCTAGGTGGTGGGGTGGGCTGCCTTGTATATATCTAAAAACACTTCAGAGGTTTTAGGGAGGAGTGCCAAGGGTCCACCTGGGAGACCCTGTTTTCAGGGGTGTTTGGCTGTCTGCTGTGCTTCTGAAGGGTTAGAAATCAAGCAAGCAGGGAGTACTCATAGGAAACAGCTCTCTTCTGTTTAGTTTTTTCTTGCCTGATGTCTCTTTGGAGTCCCTCCTCCAGGCATCTCATTAACTTGCCCTTCTTATATCTCAGTTCTTTTCTGTCTGTCTCCATAGAAGAGCCCTCCTCTGTGGCTGTGTAGGCCTCTGTGTTTTTCTTTTTTTCTTTTTTTTTATTTTAAAAA